TAAATAGACAACACAAAACTACAAGATTTATTGTGGGACATCAACTATTCTTCCTTGATACATTGATACGCTAATTGTGAATACGAAAGGTATCATAAAAATACACTTAACGGTTTATATATATTTTTATTTTAGTAGTTGTATTCCAAAAGAGTTAATAATTTAATTTAATTTACATCGTGCTTATCTAATAGCTAGGCCCTATTAATATTTTCATAAGGAATTTAATAACATTAAAGTACTTTTAAATAAAGATGGTTTTCTAAACGGTATAATCGATAATATGTTAACATATTTATTTAGATAAGAGTAATAATACTGAACAAAAAAGTTCAATGTCACAAAACAAAGAACATCTATTATATAACCGTATACGAGTGAACAAATATTATATGTCAAAAAATCACTTGCATGGCTACTTCGTACAACCTATCTACAACTTGATTTAAGAGTATGTTTTAAACGTGCATAAAGAACAACAAAATGTTCAAGTATAAAGACAAAGTTTCATTCTCAAGAACATCTAAAATTATATATATTAATATATATGTCTTGAATGTAATTTAATATGTACTGTTTCAAGCAATAGCTGGTTAGAAATAGCATAAAGGAACATGCAAATTTAATGATCAATAATAAATCAAGTATATGCGATCACGTACTTGGCGAATGGGATATAGTCATACATCACATTATGTTTAAAAGTCTCACTAGAGGACGCGACGAGAAGAACTTACGTATAAAAAAAAACGTTGTTGATTAACCAGAGCAGCTGAACAAGATGATTAAGCAACATTACTACTAACGATATAAGAATAATAAGTAAGGGTTGGATACTTCATACCACGTGTTTATGAACGTAAAATTTATATTTATTCTTGTTTCAATTATATATACAGTATTGGAGACGATGGGGAAAAGGCATGAAAGGCAAATACTAAAGGAATGCCACTCCATTATCGAATGAAGATAAATTGCACCATTGTATAGTTATAAATTGATACCTTATACTGTCATTGGTGTTCATTCGACCAATCATAAAATGCCACACTGCTATAAAGCCTCTAAACATTTAGGCTGTCTACTATGTTTAGCAGTAGTAGTGTGTAAATCCAATCATAGTTCTCCCGTGGCTGAAATTTTGCATGATAAACTATAAAAAATCGAAGATATGGCTGGTCAAGATTACCCCATGTGAAAACTTTGAGAAAGGTTCCATGTTTCAGTATGAGCTACACTGAAGGCTCCAAAACTGGCACTTTTAATAATAGAAGTATTAGAGAAAACTTCAAAAGTTGTATTATGTATCTCAGGGTACGTTCTTTACGAGATAGATGACGGTGGAGTATAGGTCTTGTCAACAGCCTTCCTGTGTAAGAACAGGTGTGCGAATGTTATCTCAAGAACAGTACGATACGAATTAACACGAAGTGTTCCAGTGGATGTGTAGCTTCTCTTAAACCGTTGCTGAGTAGAGTCAACTAAACTGAAAAGTTGAAATCACTATCCAAACACAAACAACGCTCTTTACAGATCAAAGCAAGTTCGAATTGTTTGATAACAATCAACAACAGTTTATTCAATGAACAGAGGAGAAAGGTACCATAGTCAATATACAACAACTGCAGTGAAGCATGGTGGGAAATCAATACAAGTTTGTGGCTGCTCTTCAGTCAAGAAGTCGGTAATCTTCACATAATTGATGACACCATCTTGCCATTTCCTCACGCTCTGAATCATAATCTAGCAAGACAACGATCTCGAGCCCACACCAAGTGTGGTAAAGTGACCAGAGGAAACAAATCTAAATATGACTACATGGACATTCTTTAAGGTTGTAAAAACTGAGAAGGTCAAAAGGTGACCAAATAATTTTTCTGAATTACGGAAAGTGATAGAGGACACTTGGAAAAATAGTTCCCAATCGTACTTTGATAAATTGTATGAAAAGAAAGTGTCTGTGTAAACCAAAGGGTTCACATGTAACTTATTCACTTTTCTTTTGAATTTTTAAATAATGTTTTGTGTCATTAATAAGTTCAGCAGCAGTTGGTTTTGACTCCTGTATAAGTATAGCTTGTGTATTTCTGTACTTTCGTATATCGCTATATATATATAGTTTTATGCGTGAAGTAAATGATACTAAATAAAAGTGAAGTGTTCGTGGTTAATATTCGTATTCATATCATGCAGTAAATTACTCAAAAAAGATAAATAAATAAATAAAGTAAACCATTTTACCAAGTTCGTTCATTCACAGTATCAGAAAATACATTAAAATGCATAGAAAGGAGATAAATAATATACAAAAACTAAGTTTCAAAAACGTATATTCTGTACTTGTTTAGTTATTATGATGGTCGTTGTAATGCTGTCATGGCCTTGATATGTACCTATACCCTTGTTAGTTACATTGTACTTAATAGTTAGAAAATAACAACATGTATAGCTAGCTCGGTCTTCATATAAGGATCAATGAAAGCACAGGGATAACATTTTACAACCAAATTAAAACACACAAGGTAATTAAAAATTATTAATTTAAAAAGAGGAATAGGGATCGTCAAAAAAATACAGAGACAAGTTGAATCAAAATGTAAATATTATATTTTCAGGCCTACAACTAGGGACTCTAAAAAAGTAACAAACTAGACGTGAAGTAAGTAGTCTACATTATTTATTCTACGTACTAACTAACTACTTATTACTTACCTACCCTACCTTACTTACTTAACT